ATTCTCAGGATCATTGCCTTGCTCATCTTTTACATATAACTGTATGGCTTGACATTGTCATGTTTCCTAGCTCTTCTCATTTCCCTCTCAAGATTAGTTAGTCCTTCAGATCCTGCTTTCCTTTTACTTGTATTATATCTTTCTATTTTTATTTCTTCTTTTGAGTTCTTATACTAGGGAGACTATACAATATTTACTCATGTCACACAATTTAGATTTAGCTATCTTCAAAAAGTCCAAACCTATAATTTCATGAGGCTTTGGGGGAACATCGTGATGCAAGCCAGCAAATGTAAATATGCCTAAAAGACTGATTATGAGAGTCAAGCAAATTAACATACAGTGGTACCTTGATTCATGAATTTCTTTGGCAAAATTTTGTTTATATTTATGCTTGTAAACTCTGCATTGTGTGGTGAACAGGACTACAGCCATCTTTCCTGCCCACTTACATGTCTACCTTTTCCAGAATTGTGGAACAAATTAAGTTCAAGAACCAAGTGACCACTCTATCCACCAGTTCACATTTGCTTTCTTTACTTGGTGATAGAAGCTCACCAACTCTACTCTCTTAGCAGATGTGCAATACAGAATGCCATATTACTGGAGTTCCAGTAGTGCAATGGTTACCTGAAATACTTATAGAATCTCAAGATTATTTATTCCACATAATTGGAACTATGCATCCTTTTATTAAAGCTTTTTCATATCCCTCCTCTCCTGGGCCCTCATAACCACTGTTCTAGGGCCAGTCAAATATCTCAGCAGATTGAAGTGCCTGCAAGCAGATTCAGGGGCTGGGGTGTCATCCCAGGGCCTGCTGCACCGGCTCCCCACCCCACCATCCAGCCTCTTCCCCCACTGGGTGTGCGCTGAACCAGCAATTGAGACTGGGCGTGGTGGCGCACTCCTGTAATCTCAGCTCTTGGGAGGCTGTAAACAGGTGGATCACTACGAGTCTGATCTAGTACTGAGACCCTCAACACCCTGTAGACCCTTCCCTAAAATACAAACAAAAAAATCACTGTTTTGTTCTGTTTATTGGTATTCAGTTCTTAAATGTACAGTAAAATAATATTTTGTAAAGATACATGTATATAAAATAAATTTTTCATTATTACTGTTAATGCAGTGTATTATTTTATTTTAGCCTGTATTTTTGAAAAAGAAAAAAATCCTAATGAAAGGTCCAGAACTATAAATCTCTTAGGATAAAACATTAGGCAAGATCCACATGATACATGATCCAGCAATGAGTTCATGAATATGATACCCAAAGCACAAGCAAATATATATATTTAATACTTCACCAAAACTAAGAATATTTGTTCATCAAAGGACACTATGAAGAGATTAAAAAGATAGTAAACTGAATAGGCATCAGTATTTAAAATGTATAAGTAAGTAACAACCAAAGTTTTAAAAAACAAGTTAACAATATGAATAGACATCTCTTTCTTTTTTATTTTTTTTCTGCGAAGTTTTATTCCAGTGGGGCCAGGGAGATGGCTCAGTAGAAGAAGCACTTTCCTGGCAAGCACAAGGGCCTGAGTTTAATCCCTGGTTCTGCCAAAAAACATAAAAAAAAGTTTTATTCCAGAGGAGCTCAGTCCTTCTTGGTAGCTTCCTTCCTCGTGGCGGCCAGTATGTTGCTCAGCTCCTCACACTTCCTCTTGGTGCAGATGTGCGTCCCCACCCTTTTCTTGATGAAGTTAAGGGTGCACTTGTCCTTGGAGACCTTGAGCAGCTCCATGGCATGCCACTTGGAGGGGGTGAAGCTGCACACCTCCCAGATCATGTCCCACACAAACTGGGTGTGTTTGGTGAGGTGTCCGTGGCAGCGGCTGTGCCTTGGTTTGCTCACATTCTTAGTCACCTTGTGGCCCTTGTTGAGGTCCATGGCCATGGGATAGCAGAGGGCCATGGCTACTGTTCTTCCATGGTTGCTGTGGCAGAAGGACTGAATAAACATTTCTGAAAGGAAGACATACAAATAAGCACCTGAAAACCATATTCAACATCATTACTCCCCTAGAATGTAAATTAAAGCCACAATGAGACACCACCTTGCACCCACTCAGATAGTCATAACTTTTTAAAAAAGGAAGCCACAAGTGTTGGGAAGGATGTGAAGAAACTAGAACCTTCTTGCAGTACTAGTAAGAATGCTAAATGGCGTAGCCATATAGAGAACAGTCTGGTTGTTTCTCAAAAAGTTGAACCTAAAACTATCAAATGACCCCGTAATTCTACTCCTAGTTATGTGTCCGAAGGATTTGAAAGCAGGGCTTCAAACAGGTATATTTGTATATAGCAGCATTACTCATAACTGCTGAGAGGTGAATGTAATCAAAGTGCTCCTCCATCAATGAACAAGTAAACAAAACGCAATATATTCACAAAATGGAATGAAGCAATGAAATTTAATATATACTGCAACATGGGTGAAATGGGAAACATGAAACTTTGATGCTAAGAAGAATAAATAAATAGGAAAATCATTCTATTATTCTTCTCTGTAGCCATACCACCCTGAATGCACCTAGTCTCATCTGATTCTACTTATATGTGATATCTACAATAGTCAGAATACCGGTTAAAGGCAGAAAATGGAGTACTAGTTACTAGGAGCTGAAGAAAGAGGCAATGAGGGGTTAATATTTAGTGGGTGTAGAGCTTCTATTTGCAATGATGGAAAGTTCTAGACTTGGATGAAGATGATATTCCACAATCTTGTGAATGTACTATATGCAACTGAATTGTACACTGAAAAGTAGTTAAATGAGCCAGGTATGGTAGTTCACCCACTAAAGCCCCAGACTTGGCAATTCTCAAAACAGTGGGTTAAAGATGTAGCTCAGGGCAAAGGCCCTGGGTTTAATCTACAATGTAGAAAAAGCAAAGAATTAATGGGGAAGGGCCAGTCAAATAGCTCAGTGGATTAAAGCATCTGCTTCAGCAGATGCAGGGGCTGGGAGTTCGATCCCTGGGCCTCCCATGCTGGCCCCACCCCCAAGGCTCTCTGAGATGGCAATTGAGACTGGGCATGGTGACGCATGCCTATAATCCCAGCACTTGTGAGGCTGTAAGCAAGAGGATCACTATAAGTCCAATCTACGCAGTGAGACCCTGTGCAACCTGTCCTAAATACAAAAGAAAGAATTAATGGGGAATATTGACGTTGAGAACTCAAAGAAGACAACCTCCAAGGAGGGAAGAAATGAAGGAGAGGAAGAGTGCTTATATGATCATTTGCCTCAATCTGGAGCTTTTCCTAGAGTTCTCCTTAGAATTTGGGAGACTTTGTATTAGTTTGAATAAGGAAAAGCATTTCCTTGTTGGTGCATCAGAATTAGCACATAGCAGCGCAGAAAGCTGCCTTGTATTTACCTGTCTCTGTGTTTGTCCTTCTCTTCTAGACCATGAGTTCCTATAGAGAAGAGACTGTCATTCTGTGCATCCCAGCATCTAGAGCAAAGCCTGACTATTTCTCATAGTTATGCAGTGTATATATCATGGGTGGAAGAATGTGGAATAGAATTAAATCTCATGTTCTCATTTTACTTCACAAAGGATACTTATGTGTGAGAGGGTCTTTGCACAGTGGTTGGTATTGAGTAGAAATGATAAACAATAAATGAATGAATGGCTGAATGACTGGATGATGTATTTTTTATTCAGATGGTCAATGTCAGGTTTGAGTTTTTCCTGTGAAGAACACATAACAATACTCTTTATTCAATATTTTTTCAGCATGATAAGTGATCCGCTGATTATAAATTTAAACTTATACTAAGGAATAGGTATTCCCATGTTTTGAAGATATTAGATGGGAAGAAATAGGCAAGTATAATGAAATGAGGGGTGCCACATAGTGCACAGTAAAAATACCAAAACAATAATTAGAACATTAAAGTGGAAGATATAGAGGAAGTGAGAGAAAAATTAAGGAATATAGAAAAGACAAAGCTCATGCATAGCTATGCTCCACATTCTGGGGGGAAGAAATCCATAGAGCATCATTTTAATTTGGAATGACAACATTATCATGATGCTGCCTATGCCCTCCTTCTTTCCCCCTTTCTGCTTCAAGCCCTTAGAATATGTTTTCTTAACGTATTTGCTAGTTCATATACTCACACAATTTTCAGTTTGGGAAGTCTAGCTTAAAAACAGTGCAGTGATAACTTTATTTTGCACAATTGTCTTGAGTTCTGTGTTGTTCTGAGTTCTATGTTGAAATCCCCTGACTTCTTTTATAATATCACTCTAAGAGTGCCAGGATCAGGTTTTCACCCTAGAATACATGTTACTAGGAGGCACCATCCTGGAGTGGGTGTTACTCATGGCTCCTCACCATCACTGCTATATACTTCAGTGTTTGGTTAACCAGGAAGCAGTTGCCACCAGCAGTACTGAGTGTCAGCCCAAAACTGCTGCTCTTAGTTGTACAGGCTGTCAACTTATTTCCTTTCTAAGCATAATGTCTTGTGTTCACTTAGGCAGCACATATACTAAAATTGAAACAAGTGAGAGAAGATTAACATGGCCCCTGCACAAAGATAAGATGCTAAGTGTAATATGGCCAGTTACTCAGGTCATTGCTTCGAATGGACCTTTCCATTTAAAAACATTTGCTGGCAAAGGCAGGATTAAGATTACAGAGGTGTGACATTGCCATTTTCACAAAGACATGTCTCTAATTATGCAAGAGTAGCCAGGCTTAATATTTTATTTTTAAAATCTATTATCTATCTATCTATCTATCTATCTATCTATCTATCTATCATCTATCTATCTATCTACTATATATTGAACCCAGGGCCTTCCAACTGAGGTAGATCCCCCAACACTGTAATTTATATCCATCCATCCATCCATCCATCCATCCATCCATCCATCCATCCATTTGTTCATTTATTTTGTTTTTTTTTAGGGGATTTAATGCAAGGACTTTGCATTGAGCTACATAGACAGTCCTTTTTAATTTTAATTTAGTTTTTTTTTTTCTTGAGATAGGGTCTCACTAAATTCTTCAAGTTCCCAGGCCTGGCTCAGACTCAAGATTCTTCTACCTTAGTCTCCCAGAAGACTGGCATTAACGGCATGCACTGTGGTCCCTGGTTTAGCCAGGCTTCAATTCGTGAAATATGCTAATGGCAACACATGATGTCAAAGACTTTCAAGAAATTTACAAAGAAATGGTAGAAATAACTTACCTTTATGCCTGATTCTGCAACCTCATCCTTTTTGTGTATGTGGTACTAGGGATAAAACTCAGGAGTGGTCTACCATGAACCTACATCGTCAGTCCTTTTTTATTTTGAGTCAGGGTTTGATTGAATTTTCTAGGTGTGATGGGAGTTGTGATACTCCTTCCTCAGACTCTCTAAATGCTGGGATTACAGGCAGGGCCACCTCAGCTGATCAGCCTCATCTCATCTGTAAAAACCTCTTTCCAATTCTCTGCATTTTTTCAAAAAAGTCTTTGTTACTAGTACATATTCATTCTACACATTAATGGGTGACATTTTTCTACATGTATCTATCTGGCTTCAACCACATCTATCTCCCTTTTGTCCTCCACTATCTTCCTCCACTATCTCCCTTTGCTAGGTTCCCTTGCTAGGTCCCTTTCCCTTGCCCAAGTAGTCCCTTTTTCTATTTTCAGATTAATTTTTCAGTTTTCACATATGAGAGAAAATGTAATAATCATCAGTCAGGCTAATTTCACTTCCATCCATCTTCCTATAAATGACAAGATTTCCTATTTC